GCTAAAAACCGAAACCGAATGTAAAAAATCGAACCGAACCGTAGTAGTTTGGTTCGGTTTTGGTTTTTACCCTTCAAAACCGAACTAAACCGAACAAAAATAAAATATGAAATTTTATTTGTTAAATATAAGCATTAATCTTAATATCATCAATGATCTTTGAATTTCTTATGATAGAGAAATAATGTTTGTGCTATGTTTACTTTAGTTTAGTTTATAAATGCATTTACACATTTATTGCCCATAATGTAGCTATATTGATCTATTATGTCTTTTATGTATGTATATTGCAATTTGTTGCATGATTATATGATTTTACTGGTTATAAGTAGTAATTAACCTTTATTTTTATGTAACTTAAATTTTTTGTATTGATAAAACAAATAAATATTCATCTCAGGTATATCACATAGGACGTATGTATCCATAAACTTTTTTTCAAACTCGTCACAAACAATGTAAATTAAGAATAGATACACACTTTTATCTATCCTGCATACTTATATAATTCAAGACATATTTGTTTATTATTTTTCTTTATTTGTTCAAGTATGCTTGCATTTTTATGTAATACGTTTGATCCCACCAACTTTTAAATCAAATGACAAATTTTTAGGAAAAAACCGAAAAAACCGAAAACGAACCGAAACAAACTGAACCAATCAAATCGTGATTTCAAGTTTTGGAGTGTAAAATCGAACCGAAACCGAACCGAAGTTTTACTTTGGTTCCGTATTTGGTTTTAGGTCAAAACCGAACCAAAAGAACCGAACCCACCCCTAGCTCCGTATGTATCAATTTCCATCATATTTTATAAAGGTCAAATTTGTCAATTTAGAGTTATCATTATTGATGGCACTATGGGCCTGACTCATAGTCCAAATCCACAATGAGATGGTTGCCGGTTACACCCAAGTGATGATATAGGCCAACCCAAATGAATCAGGAGAAAAAAAAACAAGGCACAAAAGCTTGAAAATGGGAATCCGAATCCATAATAAGGTATGTCAATGAAGCTTGTGTATTGCACATTTTCACATTTTCACATTATTTACCAAAATGTCACCGTGTTTATTTAGTATAGATTTAATTCGAGCAAATTGAAAATGTGCAACAAAATAGCTCCATTGTGCACCACATTGATTTAAATGTGAGTGTTCTCATGTTAAGCATCGTTCTCACTGGAACCACACTCAGACGGAAGTTATGATAAGAACATTACAAGAAATCCTATAATAAATGGACTTATTATTGCTTAACAATCAAGTCTTAGGATATGTTTACTTCACGGATTACTAAATGGTACTTAAAATGTCCAAGGATGTTGTAAACTCATGTTTACTTCCAAGGATTTAAAACACCGTTTAACATTCATAAACACAAATATGTAATATAATATGTGAGGGTCACCTCATACCCATACACATTCCACTAACCCCTACCCTACTAGTACGAGTGGGGTCGTGGTCCGGGGTGGGGTCGAGGTAGGGGCAGGTGGTATGGGGTAAAGGGGTAGGGGTAAGGGGGTTATGGTCAGGGGTAGGATGGTAAGGGCTAGGGGTAGGATGGGGTACATGGGTAAGGGAAGGTGGTAGGAGTATAGGGGTGGGGTCAGAGTGGGGTGGGTGGGGGTGGGGTAAGGTAGGGGTACAAGTGGGGTAAGGTACGAGTGGGGTGGGGGTAATGCAGGGTACGAGTAAGGGGTAAGGTAGGATGGGTAAGGGGTGGGGGTGAATGGGTAGGGGGTGGGGTCGGGGGTGGAGTCGGGGTAAGGTAGGGTAGGGGTAGGGGGCGGGGGTAGGTAGCGGGTAACCAATAGGGTAAGGGCAAAGGCTAATTGGAAGGGTAAATTCAAAAACTGAAAAAGCTTAATTTAAAGCGCTACTTAATTAATACATGGGGGGACGATATGCTTAGTAAACAACACTTTAAGCACCTCTTTCGGTTAGTAATCAGCTTGTTGAGCAACTTGCGCGTTAGTTCACCTGTCTTGCTAACATATTTGTGATTTTAGTAGCGAAGTAAACACCCCGTAGTAAGAGGGTGTTCAGATCTACTTCTTAAAATTGCTTCTATTCCTTTAACAGATATGGAAATGTTTAGGTGAAAGTGCAGAAATGCTTTTGTTTTGGGTGCACCAAATTGCTCCTATAAGCAATTTTTCATAAGACGGGGAAGACCAGTTTCTAAAAAACTTATCGGGAAATTCTCTAAATAGGAGTAAAAAAAAGTTTTGAAATTCTCAAATAGGACTATCATGTTTTTATTCCCTAAATAAGAGTAATTTATGTGAAGTTTCGCATTATTAGACTTTAAACATGACTATTTATGTCAAGTTTCTTTCAAACTTGGCAGAAACTTCACATATTGAGAGAATAAAAACATGAAGGTCCTATTTTGAACAATTTCTAAAACTTATTCTGATTGTGCTTGTATTTTTAAAATGAAGCAAAAGCATAATCAATTCCTAACGCCCCCAATTGCTCTAAACTAGCCCTATAGATACTCCTTGTGGATAACCTCTAAAGGGATCGTTCACTAAAGTAACAACACTGCATTTACACTGCAAAAAGATTGTTAATAAATCCGTCACTAGATAGCTCTTGTAGGTGGATTTATTCTCCATCAATTATACTTATCATTGTTGAAGTTTATTTCGCTCGCTCCAAGGACCCATCACTTTCTCTTAAACTTTCATAGATATCGATGGGTTGAATATTTTAGTGGATATGTTAACTGTTATGTGGTACAAGTATTAGCAAGAAAGAGTAGAAGAGGCAAGTGAACCAAGTTCTATTAAGAACTTAGACCGATTACAGCACACTCTACCGAGGCAAGCGCCAAAACTCTATTCAAAGCTGAGAGTACAGAAGGAGTAGAAGGGCTAAAGCTAGTGAATACAAGTTGTCAACCTCTAACAATGAAATAAATACTCCTAAATAGACATTTTGGCAAGGTGCTAACATCTAAAATACATGTCCATTTATTTTAGAAAAAATGGCTGCGAAAAAACTAGTAATGACCTCATGGGATATTTCATTTTTATCATGTGACATTCCTATTGTACTCCTTTTGTAAGAAAGTATGTGAACTTCTATTTAGAATTTTAGATTTTGAAAATTCACTACTGCATAATGCTTTGTCTTTCTCTACTAATGTCATCATGTTCTCACTTTATTTGATATAACACCTCAATAGATATTTATTAATTAAATTGAAAAATGAATTATATTATATTTTCAATTTTATCAAAGAAGTTTTGAACTTTTATGTAATGTCGAAGATATGAATAATATAATAGGCAAGCAGTCAAGAGTACAAGACAGGAACAACAATTTCACTTTCAAAAGAGCTAACAAATATACTCTTATTAAACTTGTGAGAGTAGTAAATATACATTTAAAACAACTAAACACACAATTTATAAATTGCGAACACATATTACATATACTCTTAAGCTATATACTTTATCAAAAAATTTAGATGAGAAGAGCTCTCTAACAGAGAAATCATCATGTCAGGCCGGCCTGACGGGCTGCCCCGTCCGGCCGAGCCCGTTTGGGCACCTTCCCGGTGGAATTTTTTGATGAAATTTTTTGAGCATGTTCCTCATCAAGTCTAGTTTGTCCATACCAAATTTCAGCTCAAAATTCGATCGGGAAGGTCGTCAAATGATTTTTGCACGTTAACTGGTCCGGAAAATACACATATTCCGGACCAGTTAACGTGCAAAAATCATTTGACGACCTTCCCGATCGAATTTTGAGCTGAAATTTGGTATGGACAAACTAGACTTGATGAGGAACATGCTCAAAAAATTTCATCAAAAAATTCCACCGGGAAGGTGCCCAAACGGGCTCGGCCGGACGGGGCAGCCCGTCAGGCCGGCCTGATGAGAAGAGCTCTCTTTAAATATTAATAAACATATTTTTACTTCAAAGGAATTTGAAATGTGTATGGTTGGCAAAAAACGAAACATATTTGCGTTGTTAAATTAAATTCTAACATAAAATGGGTTATTGATTACATGATAATTGAACTATATGTTTGAAAATAGACATATGCCTCGAATTTTATTGTCAACGATTAAGGGATATGTATATATGTCATTTCATATATAATTAAAGGATATAATAGTAGAGGAAAGTTCATGTCAGGCCGGCCTGACGGGCTGCTCCGTCCGGTCGAGCCCGTTTGCGCACCTTCCCAGTATAATTTTTTAATGAAAATTTTTGAGCATGTTCCTCATTACGTCTAGTTTGTCCATACCAAATTTCAGCTCAAAATTCGATCGGGAAGGCATTCAAATTATTTTTTGAAGTTGACTGCAGTTTTATATGTATATTTTGACGCAGTCAACTTCAAAAAATGATTTGAATGCCTTCCCGATCGCATGTTAAGCTGAAATTTGGTATGGACAAACTAGACTTGATGAGGAACATGCTCAAAAAAATTCATCAAAAAATTCCACCGGGAAGGTGCCCAAACGGGCTCGGCCGGACGGAGGTTCCCGTCAGGCCGGCCTGAAGAGAAGAGTACTCTATAATAGTATATGTTATCTAAGAGAGCTCTTCTCATCAGGCCGGCCTGACGGGCTGCCCCGTCCGGCCGAGCCCGTTTGGGCACCTTCCCGGTGGAATTTTTTGATGAAATTTTTTGAGCATGTTCCTCATCAAGTCTAGTTTGTCCATACCAAATTTCAGCTCAAAATTCAATCGGGAAGGTTGTCAAATGATTTTTGCAAGTTAACTGGTCCGGAATATGTATTTTCCGGACCAGTTAACTTGCAAAAATCATTTGACGACCTTCCCGATCGAATTTTGAGCTGAAATTTGGTATGGACAAACTAGACTTGATGAGGAACATGCTCAAAAAATTTCATCAAAAAATTCCACCGGGAAGGTGCCCAAACGGGCTCGGCCGGACGGGGCAGCCCGTCAGGCCGGCCTGACATGATGATTTCTCAATATTTAAATTGTAAAATAAATAATGCAAATTCATAAAAGAAAGAAAGGACAGGAGCGTCTGAAGCCGTTTCCAACTAAACGAGACACAATTTTGTGCGAAAACCAGCAAGGCTTGGCTGGAGTATGAATACTACGGCGACGGCGTTCCTTTCGCCGTCAATCTCAACCTTCGCCTTCGACAATCATTCTCCATGCCTCTCACCTTTTAGTGGGAGACCGGTAAAAGAGAGAAGGAGGCTTGTTTTGCTTTCCTCTTTAACCGCAAAGCGTGCTCTTTTCGATGGGTTATCTATTTGCCCTGCTTCGACCACTTCTGCTACTCTGTCCATAGCGAATAGAAATACAAAATGTCAGGCCGTCGGAGAAAGTTCATCGTCTCATTCCGATTCAAAAGTAGTTTATCAAGGCATTTATGGTTCGTGGGCGGTCGAAGACTCCGACGTCCGGGAGGTATTACGGCTGCTCTTATCCTTTTCCATTCTTAATTAACTTTATGAGTATTGGATGCATTTGATGAGTTATCCAACTCTTTGAGCTCATGGCTTGAATTGTTCCTGAGCAGTAAGTTAATGAGTTGGCCAATCAAATTGAAATCTTTAACATAGATCTGGTAGCATCATAACGAGGCTTTTGTAGTACTTTGTCATTTTAATTAAACAGAGTCATAAGCTGTGTTGGATAAAAGTAATAAAATTATAATGTAAGAGTTTAGTTTACATAATACGGGAGAAAACTTTGGTTCATTGCTCATTAAACCACTACCTAATTTGTGCTTTTTTATATTTAAAAATATATATGGATTATGTTCTATGCTCTTCTATGTTGTTCTGATGTTAATGATGATTAACTCTCCAGGTTATCCTATATAGATTAGGATTGGTGATGGCTGCTGTATCATTTGTTCTTGCATCCTCGGCAGTTTTGCTTCCGGACAATTCCTTAATAAGGGATTTTATTGAGACAAACCTCGATGTCCTTTACGTGCTTGGAGCAAGTGGATTGGGTCTTTCTCTCTATTTAATTCACATCTATGTAACTCTTATCAAAAGCATACTCCAAGCATTTTGGATGTTAGGTGTTTTTGGATCATTGGCCACATATTATCTGCTTGCGCAACCTGCCCACTGCAGTTTAGTACAGTATATTATTGAAAATCCAACAACTGTCTGGTTTGTGGGCCCTCTCTTTGCTGCACTAACCGGGCTTCTCTTCAAGGAAGGTATGATAAGTTAACTATAAATCCATAACCACTGCTTCAGATATACACTGTATGTCCTTATAAGCTTAGTTGCACTTTGCCAAAAATTGTGGTGTTTGGGTTTTACTAGACTAATAGGGCCTTAACTTAGGGTCTGTTTGGTAAGAATTTGGCTGAAATAACTAAACCTTCTGAATTTTCTGAGAGGAGAGTGTTTAGTAAAATTTTCAGCCAAGTAAGTCAATAAGCCAATATTTTACTGAGAAGCATAATAAGCCAATAGTTGTTACCAAACAAGGCCTGACTCTTAATTAACCTTCATTCAAACAGGGCTATGCTATGGAAAGCTGGAAGCTGGAATTCTCACATTCATCATCCCATTGGTCCTTCTAGGACACCTGGTACTACTTAGCAACTGCACATGCATATATTTATAAATCCTTTTTATAAATGAAAATTTAAGTCGGGGTTGGCTATGTTCCCTCTTGTGCTTTCTTCATGTTAAGTCATCCCATAACGCACAAATATTAAAATACAGAACAACATTTAGAGCATTAAGCTACTTTATAAGACTGTTTTTAGAACTTGTATTGGTACCGTTCATGTTTCATGTAGATCTCTACCATTTTGATAGGGACCTAGATAGTACTAGTAATAAGAATAATATTAGTCTTTTAATATTGTACAATGAAAGGGGTTTAGGCCCTATTACTAAATAGCAGTGGGCTGGTCCATTAAGAGAGTATGATAGATAATGGGCAGGTAAGGGAAAAGGGGTAGGCAGAAAATTAGTTTGGTTTGGGCTGGCTCGAGAGGCATCTCTCTCTTTCCTTCTATTTCGCTACTGTAATCCTACGATCTCGTCAAATCTACTGCCGATCTCTGTTAAATTTCGTGAGAATCTATCACGTTTGGAGTGATAGAAAAGAATAACCCAATGCACATTGGTAGTCCAAGGAAGGGTCCCGTCACAAGGGTGTATAAGGAGCAAGTATTCGTTTGTCATTTTGAATTTTGACAAGAGGTCGCTCCCATGACTTGTGCTGGAGATATGCCATAGGACAATAGTAGTTTTATGATTTCTTTTTGGATATTTACTGCTCATTAATTAATAATGTTACAAACTCTTTGTATGGTAACTACTATTATGAGTTTTCTTTATTAACTTTTAGTCCCTGAATAATATGCATAGTAGCTAATTAGGTACATAACCTAGTTGTGGAATATTGGGATGCTACACATTATTAAGCATAATATTCTAACTAGTCCCTAATTTAATATTATTACTAAGGAACATTAATAATTAATAAACTAGTATGTGGATTAGCTTATGACTATATTCCAGTAGTCATAGATATAGAGATATCTAGCTAATCTGCTAATCACATAGATTCTTGTTAGTGAAGAAGTCCGTTGAATTGACCAAGACATTGCAAGGGTTAAATGCTTAAATGCATGTCATCAGTATAGGCCTCAATAATGATACGTATTATATTCTTATACCTGAGACATCATGGTTATCAATGTGGGAAGTAATATGTTTCGACTTCATTAGACGTTACCTTTAAGCGAGTAATTATAATAGTGGTGATTAAGCATATTATGAATCATGTGGAGGTATGTGAATGGTCAAGATTCTTGTCACTCCCGTATAGCGAGACAAAGATATCTGTTGGATCCTTTGATAAGTAAGGTTAATTAACATGACCATGCACAAGTGAAGTGTCACTTGTCAAAACTAATCTTATTTGGAAGTCAATAAACAACGATTGACAACATGGGAATTATTAGCACAATATATCATTAAATAAGTTATATTTAATTAACATGAACCTAGCATTGTCTCAATCGAGATATCATTTAACAAATGGGAGTTATTAGTACAATATATCATTAAATAAGTTATATTTCATAGACTTTTCTGTAACTTGGGTAGCCATAAAGCCTTCCTAGAGACTAGGGGTGCAAACATGCCAAGCCGCTCTTGAGTTACTTGTGAGCCGCTCGGTCAAAACTCGACTCGAGTTTGGTTAAACTTGAGCCGAATTCAAGTCAGCTCGTTAAGCGAGCCGAGCTTGAGCTCAATTCCTTTTGAGCTCGTGAGCTCGCGAGCCAAAGATAGATGAATGAAAGGATGGGTGGGTGGGTGGTGGGCGGGCAAGTGGGCGGGTGGATGTCCCACTTTGTTAAAAAATGGATGGCTCACATGTCCCACTTTGTTAAAAAATAAAACGTGTGCCCCTATCTGAAAACGGCCCAAACCACTATTTTCCCTATAAAAAAGCACTCATTTTCCATCGTTTGTAATGGAGCCAAAGGCTCACTATTTTTTTTTACTTGAGAATATGATGAAATCAAGCAAATTGACTCACTAAACTTTGTGCTTCTTTGTTATGAAGCAACAATCAATCCATGCAATTTTGACGTGATTTTTACTATGAGTCATCCGGAAACAGTCTCTCTGTGCTTTGGTACAGGGGTATGGTTGCGTACATCCGACTCCCCCTTACCCCACCGTAGGTGAGAGCCTTTGCGACACTGGGTAATGATGATGATGATGAAAAAGATAAGCACAATTTACTTTCTACTACATAAAAATCTCGAAAATTCAAAACACAAGATATAAATACTTTTTGAAGTTTTTTTTACACCAATAATTTTTGAATCTTTAGTCACTTCAAATATCAAGTCCAAACTTAATTTTGTAAACACTTGATAGAATGAGTGTTTTTTTCTTCATTTGTAAATAATATAGAAACATCTTTGTTATTTGATATCCATAAAGGGTTGTTTTTTGGTTCAAGTACCACCAAGCTTAAAAACCACATTGAATACTCATGTACAAATATAAACATTATTACATTTCAAATCCTAGGAGCACTATTTAAAATAGGTCTCATAATTACAATCATATTGAATATTGTAAAGTAAAAATATATGGAAGTATGGAACCAATACGTATTTATTTGAGTTACTTTATAATTACAAAACTATGTGTGGAACATGATTTAATTTGTAAAAATGAGTTTCATGTATTCATCATCAGAAACAATATATTATAACTTCGGTTTTCAGTAGTTAACTTTATATTGCTATGTCGCTAAATGTCATCATTATATTATTGTTACTATTATTATTGTTGTTGTCAATGTTATCATTACTATTATTATTACTAGTTATACTTCCATTTTTTATTAATAACGGTTCCTTAGACACATTTCTTGTAGAAACTGGGAACCGAACCATTAACAATTTACAACTCATTTGCAAGAACCAAACCGGAGTTTAACGGTTCGGTTCCAAAATCTGACATGTAATAAGCAAACGATACGATCGCGTGAATGTGGATAATGGTAGAGCTCGGAAAGCTTTTCTGAGACAATTTGACATCCTCACGATTCTCGAATTCCTTCATAAAAGTTTTAATCGTTTAATTTCGTTTATAATATTAGCTTTTACTCTTGTCGGTTTTTCAGGCAGATTTTTATTTTATTTCTTCCACTGCTTTTTTTTTTCTATCCAAATTCAACAACTTGAGATAAGTGATCTCTCAGTCACACAACAGCACCATAACAATTATGCCAAGTCTCCCCCTCACCATTTGAAGTGATATGTGGCAGAAATGTCACAAGGGTAGCAAGAGGAAAAAAAGTAAGAGAGAGGAGCCAATCACATATAAACTTTTGGGTAACAAAAGTTAATAATTGGATATGAATTGAAAGCTTTAATTTCCCCTGAAACACTTCATGTCTTCAGTGCATGTGTACATGCAGACTGGGTTGATGGATGATGGAGTAAAAGTCCCCTTAATGAGTGTTTGGATGACACTTTTTCTAGTGTTTGCAGGAAGAAAGTTTACGCAACCAATAAAGGTAGGATTATTTTTAACTGTTTCACCTATTTGTTAAAGGGAAAATGGAAACTAATAATCCAACCTTTTAGCGGTCTTCTTACAATAGTCCCACCTTTTCATTATCCATGAATAATCCAACCTTTGCACCTCATCTTCACTCACTCGTCTCTGACCGGTTGATGACATGCTATTCCAAGTTATTTTCTTTTCTTTGAAAACCATTATACCATAAATCCCACCTTTGACAAAGATAATGTTTTGCAAAGATAAGAAAATAACTTGAAATAGCAGGTCATTAACCGGGCAGGGACCAACGAATGAAGATGGGGTGCAAAGGTTGGATTATTCTTGAATAACGAAAAGGTGGGACTATTGTAAGAAGACTGCTAAAAGGTTGGATTATTAGTTTCCATTTTCCCTTTGTTAAATTTACACTCCGTAAAATTAGAATGTGCGACTACATTGTGTTCTCCACACCACAATAGATTTCATGAGGTCATTCATTTCTTGGGGGTGCAGGATGATATAGGAGATAAATCTGTCTTCAGATTCAATGCACTACCAGAAGAAGAAAAGGCTGCAGTGATTGAGAAACTTGGGTTGGAGAAGCATCTATAAGAACTCAAAGCAGTAGTTCCGCCTTATCATTTTAGGACTGTAATTTGCGTTGTGTTTATGAATATGATGATTTACCCATTGTAGTTGATGCAATTGAGAAGATAACGCATATTTGATAGCAGTACATGTTATTATACTCTATTAGAAGCACTATGACTTGTTGAAATGGTTTGAGCAACCAATTGAACATAAGTACTTCTATTTAATAGAGTATATTGAAAATATATGGATTTTGACATCAATAATAGTATAATACTAAATAAATGACTCCCAGTCACCCAATGACAGTGACTTGTCACTGGTGACCAAATGACACTTAAGTGTTGTATAATTTATATAAATAAAGACTTATGTTGATTTTCATTTCTCTACCACTAAAGAGGTGAAGTGCAAGTTGTTTGTTACTAAAAATAAGTAATTCATTTAAACATGCTACATTTGTTCATTTTAATTTGGCACAATTGTTAATAAAGTGATAAGAAAAGTAAAAATTGTGATTGAGAATCATATTCTTCAAAAAGTGTATCATATATTTCTTTCTAAAAAAGAAATATAACACTTATTTTATGACAATCTAAAAAAGAAAGTAAGACATCTAAATGGAATGGAGGGAATAATAATTTACTTTTTCTAATACACTAATGCATCAAGGATGTGGGAGATTCTAAAATCAACTCTATGTTAAGTGCGGAGATTTCGATCGGCTAATATGGAACGGTGATATATACTACCTCCGTCTCTTAAAACTTTGTCAAAGTTGACCGGCACGGAAAATAATAAAGTAAAAACTGTGTGGTTGAGGTTTGTACAGAGGAGAGAGAAATAACAGAAATCACAAAATAATTGATTAAAAGGAAAAGTGTCAAAGTTTTTTGGGATGTCCCAAAAAGGAAAAATGTCAAAGTTTTAAGAGACGGAGGGAGTATCATATACTCAATGATACTTGTAGCATTTACCGTTGCATTGTATGATTAACTCAATGACGGCTCTAGCGAACTTTTGCTAAGTGAGAGACCAAAACCCTAAGCTGAGGTCATTCCCTCTCTAATGTAGGGTTTGTTTTCCGCCAATCTTTGTGCGGCTTTTGCTTTTTTTTTATTTTGATTTCATATTTGGATTTGGTTTTATCTTGGATGAGGTTTGTTTCGTATAACGACTTAGAATTTGGCTTTGCTTTGGACACTCGGAGGTTACTCAGGTGTGCTCTAGGAACTTGTCGATCACTATTGTAGCTTGCTTTAGGAGGACACACACAAAGTCACAAAGTGATCGACGCTGATTTGGGCTTTGCTTCTTCAGCGAGTGAGCAGAAGGTTGACCACGTGTTTCGGCGCTCAAGAGGCAAGGCATGGAGGGTGATGTAACATGGGAGAAGCTGGGTACGATTGACGGAGCGACCATATTAGAAGGCGGCACGGGCAATGAGCATACAAGGAGAGGTGAAGGGTTAAACAAGGGAGAACACAAATCGACGGTCTGCTCTCCTCCTGAACCGTTGCCTTGGAGCGATCGAGGTGTCATGGTTTGTAAGATGATGTTCAAGAAAAGTGGCAGGAAGGAGTTTGGAACTTTTATCAGTTATTTTATATTTTATGATCTTATTTTCATGTTCTTTTGTTTACGTTGCTCTATTTTTTGTTGAAGTCTTTACCTTTAAGTCTACAATAATAATTGACAATTCTGCTAGCTATTATGTCGTTGGAAAGATCTATATGGCTAGTGATTTTTTGTGGCACACTCATTTGGTGGCTAGCGATTCGTATTGCTCTTTCAGGGTCGATCATTTCTATGTCTAGTCGTATGATTGATAGTGATAATTAATTACAGAGAAATTGCCTCATACAAGAGTAAAACATGAGAGAAATTCTAAAATAGGAGTATGTATGTTTTTTTTCAAATAGGACCATATTACTCCTATTCAAAACATACAGACTTTTCTATTCCATTCTTGCCGCTATTTTGTTTAACCGATGATTGATCCACTCTCCTGCTCGCAATTTTCTCCTTCCTTTTTGCGCATCATCACCTCCCTTTCTCCATCGATCAGTTTCTTCTCCCCTGTAAATTAGATCCGTCGACTTCTTCTTCAATTTCATGCGAATACAACTGATCAACTTCTTCTCCACACGCCATCGTGGATTTTATACCTAGCCATATCTGCCGCCGTTGACTCCAACACACCCTGTCTGCAAATGAGGCTCCTCCTCCCCCTCCCCCTCCCCATCCCCCCCTCCTCCTCCTTTTTGGGCTCTTCAATGTTACCCGTTCAATTTCAACTCGCGTATGTGATTTTTGTCAACTTGACCTTAAAAGAAGGTTATTTTTGTCAACTTGACCTTAAAAGACTCCTATCAAACATAGTTTACGTGAATACTCCTATTTTGGCAAATTGTAAACTTTTTACTCCTATAAAGGTAATGAACTCTTAAGGGATAAGGGTCAGATAGGGCCTCGAATTTGGAAAAAAATGTCAAATAAGGCCATATTTAGGATGCTATGTCCGGTTGACGCCATTTGGGGAGGTTCCCAGTGGAATTTTTTGATGAAATTTTTTGAGAATCTTATTCATTAAGTCTAGTTTACTCATATCAAATTTGAACTAACAATTCAATCGGGAAGGCATTTAAATGAATTCTTGAAGATAACTGCGCTTTTAACTGCACAGTTATCTTCAAGAATTCATTTGAATGCCTTCCCGGTTGAAGTTTTAGTTCAAATTTGATATGAGTAAACTAGACTTGATGAATAAGATTCTCAAAAAAATTCATCAAAAAATTCCACCGGGAACCGCCCCAAATGGCGTCGGCCGGACAGAGCATCCTAAATATGGCCTTATTTGACATTTTTTTTTCAAGTTCGAGGCCTTATCTGACCCTTATCCCAACTCTTAATTACAAATAGTTGTTGTCCGTGTTGGTCTCTTTGAATTTGATATAATTATCTAAATCCTAATGATATTAATATAAACAGTTTTTCCTTTAAAAAATTCGTTATTAGGAAGTACATATAGGCATATATGCATATGCATTAATAGCAAATTAGGAAGTACATATGCATTTTGTTATTAAAACGCATTTCAAAAAATCCCCATTACTACCTTGGTTGCTATTCTTTTTTCATTTCAATATTCAAATTCGCATATAGGCATGGCAATGGGTCGGGGCAAGGCGGGTACTGCAAGACCAGGACCCACCCCGTGACCTGCACGGGTCCAAACTTGTTGACCCATGACCCGCCCCGCCCCGTCGTAACCTAATTTGCTAGTATGTATTTTTTATTTGTGGAAAGTTGTTACCCATTGAATCTACATAAAGTTTATCTCTAAATAATAATTAAAAATTAATATATTAAATCAAATTCATGATACGCTAAAAAATTCAAAAATTAGGGAAAAAATACTAAGACTTGAATAGTTAATCTATTTAATTATATTAATAATTGAATATATGTATTAAAATGCTACTCCCTCCGTCCCGAAAACAACTTCCCGGTTGGACTTCCACACACTTTTAGGAAATAAATTTGACTTTACTGTGGAATGCACTGTTTTGCATTGTTTGAACACTGTTTGGCACTGTTTAAACACTGTTTGACACTGTTTAAACACTGTTTGACACTGTTTATCACTTTTTTTATGTAGATAATTTGCCAAATAAGGAAAGTATTGAAGTGTGAAGTTAATTTTGGGACATCCATTTAAGGAAAGTGGGAAGTTGTTTTCGGGACGGAGGGAGTATATATAAAGAAGACATTGATAATCTGTCATTCATCTCATTCTTATATATATATATATATATATATATGTATATGTATATGTATATATATAGACACACACACACACACACATACTAGTATATTAGAGTGCTATTAAAATTCTAATATATATACATATATATATACACATACATATAGGGAACTCTTCCGGTAAGGTATACCTTACCGGAGCCGCCGTGCGGCCTCCACGTTTTGAGGGTCTTCCCGGTGTAATTTTTCGATGAATTTTTTTAGCATGTTCTTCATTAAGTCTAGTACATCCATACCAAAATTTAGCAAAAAATTTAATCGGGAAGACAGTCAAATGATTTTTGGAAGATAACTGCACCCTTTATATACATATAAAACACAGTTATCGTCCAAAAATCGCTTGACTGCCTTCCCGATTGAAGTTTTTGCTAAAATTTGGTATGGATGTACTAGACTTGATGAAGAACATGCTAAAAACATTTCATCGAAAAATTCCACCGGGAAAGCCCTCAAAACGTGGAGGCCGCACGGCGGCTCCAGTAAGGTATACCTTACCAGAAGTTTTTCCATATATATATATATATATATATATATATATATATATAGAGAGAGAGAGAGAGAGCTATTTTGGTCAGGAAATTCCTGACCGGAGCCCCATCCGGCCTCCTCCATTTGGGGGTCTTCCCGGTGGTATTTTTTGCTCAAATTTTTTGTGTATGTTCCTCATCAAGTCTAGTTCATCCATACCAAATTTCAGCAAAAAAATTCAATCGGGTAAGTCGTCAAATGAACTAGACTTGATGAGGAACATACATAAAAAATTTCAGCAAAAAATACCACCGGGAAGGTCCCCAAATGGAGGAGGCCGGACGGGGCTCCGGTCAGGAAATTCCTGACCGGAATATTTGTGTGTGTGTGTGTATTAATATATATATTAATATATTTTAAGATCAAAAAAATGATTTATTGTATACACACATATGTATGTTGAAGTATATTTGTAGTATAATTTAAGAAAAAGTATGTATACTTATATATTGAGCGGGTCGGGTCAGGGCGGCACGGGTCAATACTAATACCCGGACCCGCCCCATTGTATAGGCGGGGCGGACCCGCCCGCAAATGTCTCGGGCCAGGGCGGGTCATTGCGGGTCAGTTTTTTTTTTACATCCCTATTCGCATACAAGATAATCGTTATGGTAGGTACTGAGCATTCATTGCTTAAATGATACTTCATTTATCCCGCTAAGATTGTCTCATTTTTTCTTTTCAAGAAATCTCACTAAGATTGCTACATACCAAATTTGGTAAAATTTGTGTAGCTCTAAATCATTTTTATTTTATTCTTATTTATCAATTCAATATCAATCACAAAAACTCATTTTTCTTGATAACTGTGTCACCCCCTCATGTCCCAATTTTAGTAGGACGTAGGTAGTATTTGACTGATCTAATAAATACCTTATGTCAATATAATGCATACATATATCATACTTATACTAATAATGTACATAGTATAACTTTTTTTTCACAAAAACTTGAAAACAAAAAAAAAAACGAAGCTGGAGGCCCAAAACCAAGTAGAGGTCCTGGTTTTGGGTACTATTTTTTTTTTTTAA